TATCCGACAAGGTTAGAAGCCTTACTCGATTTATGGGCCTCGGTGATGGGCCTAATTCATTATTATTCAACCATGCGACATGATATGGTGCTAGTTCAAAAGCTTGTAATGAACATGCGACATAAATAGTTTCGAAAACAATATTTGAATGGATTTTAGAAAATAAAAAAATTCTAAGTGTTGAAAGGAAAATATTTCTCACATAGGTTGTGGATGAATGGGTGAAGTTTGTTTTGTTTCAATGAGTATTTAGTGTTTGATTAGTATCTTTTCGTCTTTAGATTTTTGTTGTGGTCGTTGGATTTAGTTTCAAAAATTCAAATAGAAAGTAGTAATTTCTTTTGAATGCCTTCTATATTTTTTTATAGAAATATTTTTTTTTCTCAAGTTTCCTCAAAATCTGTCTTACTTTTTTGTTTGCCAAAGAAATTAGAATAAATATTTTTTATTTGACTGGCAAAAAATTAAAAGAAAAATAATTTTTTTTATAGAGTTATCCAGTTAACAAAATATATAGGCATATATCTGTTTAATTTTTTTTTCTTATTAATTGTGAAACATTTACATCCATAGTAAAATAAACTACAAAAGTGGTTTACTCAATGAAGAAAATGTTTTAAATTTTGATAGAATGAATGAATGATTTAAAAATAAAAAAAAACAAAAATGGAATGAAACGTTGGATGCAAGTGATAGAAAATAGAATATGGAACTGTTTACAACTGTAAATACATAAGAAGAAGAAGAAGACATAAGGCTAATAAAAGAGACAAAACTAGGAGAAAGGGAGAGTGAGGACCGTTAGACATGAGACTATACCAAAACAGGCCATTACATAGTGTCCATATATGGTTTATTTTGTCCATACTTAGATCCTGAACAAAACTCAAAAGCACAACAAATGCTACAATTTAGCATGGATGCCTTTTATCAACAAATTTGAAAAACAGAACCATTCTAAAGATACATGACTTCCTTTGGAAGTGTCTTAAGGGCTGTATACATGTGGCTTGGATCTCTACTATAAAACACTTAGTAACATAGATTTATTGTGTAAGATGCCAATGGAGGTATGAGAAATATCCCCAAAGAAGAGAATGGTAAAATTTTGTTTACAATAACTTTTTAGAGTCTTAAACCTCAAGAATTCCACTCTTAACATGAAAACACTGTTAAATTGGTGCCACTAATTGTTTGAAGGTTATGGAAAAGTAGAAATGAAATTGCCTCTAAAAGCTTTGATCTGGCAAGCACAGTAGTGAGAAGAGACTTGGAAGATGCAAAGGAATGGGGAAGCAAAGTATAGTAGAGGCTAAAGTACAAAAGATGACAACAACCTTTTCCCGCACAAGAACAAAAAAAGATGGATTCTTACCTCAATTCTGGGTAAAATGTAATGTTGATGGTGTTTGACTACATAGAATAAATAATGTGGCTTTAGATGGACATAGGAGATAAAATAAGGGCAAGATGTTGTGGATGAGAGCAAAAGCAATATTAATACCAAAATCGGTAATTGAAACAGGAACTAAGACCTTAAGATGTACAGTCAATTGCATGCTCTTGGATATCGAAAGATCATCTATGAATCAAACTCAAGGCAAATCATATCAATTTTCAAGGAAGAAAAAGAAAGATCGTCTCTCAAACCAGTAATACAAGATATCAAATGCATGCTCTCCAATGCCATTTATGTCGTGTTACAGTTTCATCCTTGGGACGAGAACAAAGTGGCTGGTAAGGTAACAAATGAACCTCTTTCTTTCGAGAACTATGACCTTAAGTTATATTCTTTAGTTCCAAAATGGACAATGTTGCAAGTTGAGCTTGATATCATTTATAAGATAAACACTGGAATGAATGATAAGTTGATGCTGACCCAACGAAAACTAAAACATCTTTTAAACTGCACTACAACCATTCAAAACCGTGGTAGCCTATTATAATCTTCTATTATGTTTCAGCGATTAATAATTTGTTAAATAAGAATAGATAGAAGGATAAGAGCATAGTCTATATAATATATTGTTCAAATTTATTTTTCTTATCCCATTATATAGCTGGAAAAGCATTAATACAAAGAAAATAAATTAAGAAAAGATAGATTAGCTTTAGTACTTGAGACAAAGAGTGAGTTCAAAAGACAATGTCTCATCATTGTTACCATCTTTTCTCTCGTCACCATTTCCATTTTCATTGAATCCAGTCAGTTATCAAAATAAAAATTAATAGAAATATATTAAATCGTATGTAGATCAGATGTACATATATTATAATATAACATCAAATGTTTTCTCAAGTTTCTACTGTCATATATAACATATTTATCTCATCATATACTAAAATAATAGGTTTCAAAAACATGTTTAAATATTTTAGGTACCAATATTTTCCATACTATAAAAGTTTATCCCAAATAAAATTATCACTAAAATCAATATATAGATTAAAAATTGAAAATCATATATAGTGGATATGTGCACATACAGTATGGCAATCTCCAAATAAAATTATATACATCTATCAAGCTCATATGAATCAAGTCTAGATACTATTCACTAAATTGAAAAAAGGAGAGAATACTTACTCTTGAAGATTGATAGAGAGATTTGCAGGATACTTCTTCAGTCTTGTTACTTGATTCTCCAAATTCAATTACTTTTCCATGTTGCCTACAAGAAATTACAAAAATGATAATAGTTTCACAAATAAAACAAAACAAAAAAGATTTTGCTATGCAAATTAATAATATAAAGTCATTATTACACGAGCCTTTGTTGATTTTGGATGCATTCGACAGTTTTTAGCAGATGTTCATATCGACGATGGTGTTGTTGAGTTTCCCACACATTCATTTGCCTTATCATATTTTGTCGCCTTTCCTCTGCTATAAGATTACATGTTTGTTTGTATAACGTAAATCACTATGTTAAACTTTAATATATATGGTAAGAGCATCTATGAAATATAAAATCCATGCACATTTATATAAGTTAAAATCAAAGTGTATATGATATTAATTTTTACCTTGTATTACTTCTTTCTGTTTGGTGATCCTATAACTATGTTCGAGATAAATAGATACAAAATGGTTCAATACACAAACCCAAAGAGATCTTATAAAATATGACGATATACATATATGCATATATAATAATATAGATATATAGATAATGATAGATCTGTATATATTATATGGCAAAACCTGGAGATGACTTCTGACTTGATCTCTTCTGAGTTCTTCCCTATTCATTAACTCTAAAATTTTATTAAGACTCGCGTTTGCAATTTAAGATAAATAATATCATTTTTTATCAACTAAATTTTAATTAATAGAAATCTAAATAAATATTAATAGATAAGATATCATAGCAAAAAAATTGACAAAGAACTTGTATCAGCGTACAAACAATCTCCGACAATATTTTGAAAATGAAAATTATAGTATTACAAAACAAAAAATCTCGCTTTCTTCGTTCTCCACCCAATTGTTCAACCGCATGAACAAAGTGGTGATGACGATCGGCGCTCCATCGCATCAGCGGCATATCTGACTTAATCTAAGATCTAACAAATAGTTTCTCAATAAGAAAAATCTGCCCAAACTCGCAATTTTTTTTTTACTATACCAATTAATTCTAGTCAATTTATAAAAGTTGCAAAAAGAAATATCTAGGGAGTAAAAAAGGGATTTTAGAAAAAAATGTCATACTTTATACCAAAGTAACAAAAACAATTATATTTTATTAAATTAAAAAAATAGTACCCTAAAATTACATCCCAAAGAAA